GTGGCCTAAATTTACCTCTGCGATATGCAGAGAGGATATGCAGAGAGAGTAATCTGCATTATATACTGTCTAATGTTTTGGTGAGTTTGTTGCTTCAGCTTTGGTGTAGCATTTCAAGTCCCAGGAAGTCATGGCCTCTGTCTCCGGGCTCGATTCCATCTGGCGCCCCAGAGCATTAGCTCTACTGTCCTGTCTCAACCCGGCTCACCTTAAAGAGCAGCAGGTATAGGTTACCAGGGAAACACGCACACCACCTTCAAAGACTATCACCAGCACCTCAGCTAGACCAATATACATTGCTTAAAGCCAATTGAAGGATAAACAGGAGTCCTAGGTAGCTCTGTACATAACAATACAGGGAAATAGGGTCAGGCTCAGTAAAAAGGGAGACAATCACTCCTCTTTCAAGGAGAGCTGCTCAGGTGGTCCTCCACAATCTCCCCTAAGTTAGTTACAAACCCATGCAATCCATCAGCTTTCTGACATGATTAGAAGATTTATTGGGAGCATCAAGCAGGCTGGCTGTGTAGTGGACCAAAATAGCAATGAATAAAGAGGGACATGAGACCTTATAGGATCTCTTAGGGAGGGTGATCATGGGCTGGAACAGCTGAGGGAGAGCTAATCTTGGCAGGGCTGCCTGGTTTGTGAAGGACTTTTTTTTTTGTTTTTGTCAAGGGCTTTTTGAACCAGGGATTGAACTCAGGCCTTTGAGCTTGCCAGGGAAGCATTTATTCTACTGAGCTAACTCCTTGGACCCAATGTGAGGGACGTTTAATGTTAACAAAGGAGAGCTTTGTGCTTGCTTGCCCATGTCAAAGTCAGGAGGACCCGTTCTTCGGTTTTGGGTTTGTGTCTGTGTGGGGCCAAGGGAGAGATAGTTTGGGGGCAGGATGCCTGGGAAACCAAGAGGGAGAGTGTTTGGGGCAAGGGGCCTGGGAAACACTGAATCCTGACCTATCGCCCTCCTTAAGTGGCTCTCCGAGAAGGTTACAGAGCACATCCTGAGGTACAAGTCAACTAGACCACGAGGCAGTGAGCTGAAGCTACGCAAATCCCAGCCCTCACCTTTGGTCCCCTGTCCATAAACCCCATATTTCTTTCTTTTCTAAAATATCATTTGATACAGGGTCTCCCTATGCAGTTGATACTTTTCTCACCCTCCCTAGCACTGGCATTAAGGTATGTGCCCCACGCTTGGTTTCAGGCCTGCATGGCACTCCCGGGGCTCCCAGTCAGGCATGGCATGCGGTACCAAGGATCAAACTTGTTTCCTTGTGCTTTTCAGCCAGGTCCTTAGACCTTTGACGTATCTCCCCAGCCCAACCCCGAATTGCGGTCAGTCTCTTGAAGTCCGACCTGGAAGCCCACTCTGCTCTGCAGCACGGCCAAGCTACATAAATTTCCTTCTTGATTTTCACCACTGCTCTTCTCTTCAGCTGACTTTCTTGGACCTAGGGCTGAGGCTGTTCTCTTGAGACCCCTGAGTTGGAGCTTTTGCCTTAAA